ATGGTGCTTTTTTTTTCTACTGCTGGTGCAACTGTAGGAACTAATGTAGGAACTACTGCTGGTGCTACTGTAGGAACTACTGCTGGTGCAACTGTAGGAACTACTGTAGGAACTACTGCTGGTGCTACTGTAGGAACTACTGCTGGTGCTACTGTAGGAACTGCTGCTGGTGCAACTGTAGGAACTAATGTAGGAACTACTGCTGGTGCTGATGTAGGAACTACTGCTGGTGCAACTGTAGGAACTACTGTAGGAACTACTGCTGATGCTACTGTAGGAACTACTGCTGGTGCTACTGTAGGAACTACTGCTGGTGCAACTGTAGGAACTAATGTAGGAACTACTGCTGGTGCTATTGTAGGAACTACTGCTGGTGCAACTGTAGGAACTAGTGTAGGAACTACTGCTGGTGCTACTGTAGGAACTACTGCTGGTGCTTCTGTAGGAACTACTGTAGGAACTACTGCTGGTGCTACTGTAGGAACTACTGCTGGTGCTACTGTAGGAACTACTGCTGGTGCTACTGTAGGAACTACTGCTGGTGCAACTGTAGGAACTAGTGTAGGAACTACTGCTGGTGCTACTGTAGGAACTACTGCTGGTGCTACTGCAGGAACTTCTGTAGGAACTACTGCTGGTGCTAGTGTAGGAACTACTGTAGGAGCTACTGCTGGTGCTACTGTAGGAACTGCTCTAGGAACTACTGTAGGAACTACTGCTGGTGCTACTGTAGGAACTACTGTAGGAACTACTGCTGTTGCTACTGTAGGAACTACTGCTGGTGCTACTGTAGGAACTACTGTAGGAACTAATGTAGGAACTACTGTTGGTGCTACTGTAGAAACTACTGCTGGTGCTACTGCAGGAACTACTGTAGGAACTACTGCTGGTGCAACTGTAGGAACTACTGCTGGTGCTACTGTAGGAGCTACTGCTGGTGCTACTGTAGGAACTACTGCAGGAACTACTGCTGGTGCTACTGTAGGAACTACTGCTGGTGCTACTGTAGGAACTACTGCTGGTGCTACCGTAGGAACTACTGTAGGAAATACTGCTGGTGCTAATTAGGAAATAATCTGGTCTACTGGGAATACTGTAGGGAAATGCTGCCGGTGCACTGTAGGAACTACTGTAGG